ATTTTTTTTTTTTTTTTTTTTTTTTTTTTTTTTTTGGATTTGTTCACTAATTGAACTTCACATTCCAGGCCACTTTATATAATAGAGAAACTATAGCTTTTTAACATTGCCTCGCAAGTGTTCGATTTAATGGCTCGTTGTTTTATTGGAATCTGCTGGTCAATCTTTTGATTTCTCTCTACTACCAGGTATGAACAATCTAATTTTTGTGTACTTTGTAAACTTCGATGTCCAGGAGTACTAATTCAATTTTTACTAGTTTATTTATTTATTGTTTTTACACCATTCTTCCACGACGTGAAAAATAGGGAAAATCTAGCATCCAACATTTGGCTACATATCCACTGAACCTAACCTAACATCATTCGGTCGAAAGATGACTGAAAAAGGTATTGGTTCACATTGATTCTTTATTTCATTGTGATGAATGGCTTAATGATGTCGCATTTTTTGGATGTAAGATTTTATTGTTTTGCAATAGCAAAGAGAATTTTTTTTTTTCATTTTAGATATTATGTCTGTATAATGTGAAGTTTGAATAGCCATTTAGATTTAGGGGATTTGTTCTGTAATTTTCTCCATACGTGAAATTTGAATTAGCGTTAGATAAATTATGTTGTTGTTGTACATTATTTGAAATTATAATTAATTTGTTTGTTGCAGGGAAAGAAATTTTGGAATATGTGGATGACATTATACCGGTGGAGTCTGATAATGAGAAAGTTGTGAAAAATACAAACATACCGGGTGATAATATGTTAGTTAGAGATAGTGTGATTGTGCCTGAGGTGGGTATGAAATTTAAGGATGAAAATGAAATATTCGATTTTTACAAAAGATATGCATACGAAATTGGTTTTCCAATCAGAAAAAGAAATTCGAGAAAGGATGATGATGGAGTATGGAGAAATATTATATTTGTTTGTAGTTGTGAAGGAAAAAGAATCAGAAATACAAGCGGTTCTTTGAAGCCGCAAGCAACCATTCAGAGTGGATGTAAAGTCAAGATCACAGCACCAGTTGATATTTGCGGAATATGGAGAATTAACACAGTACACCTGGACCACATTCATAAGACAAGCCCTTCGAAGTCTAGGCTATATCGATGCAACCGAGAGTTGAGTGGTCATGTGAAACGATGACTTGAAGTAAATGACATGCTGGAATTCCATTGCACAAGAGTTACAACTCTATAGTTGTTGAAGCATGTGGATATGAGAATATGACTTGCATCGAAAAGGATTGTCAAGACTATGTTGAAAAAGTTAGGCGTTTAAGATTTGGAGAAGGGAACGCAGCAGCAATACAATCATACTTCTCTAAAACGTAAGCATGGTACTCGGGCTTTTACTTTAGTATGGATTTGAATGATGAGTTGCGTCTAAAGAATGTTTTCTAGACAGATAATAGTAGTAGGCAAATGTATAAGGAGTTCGATGATGTCGTCACATTCGACACCACATACCTCACTAACAAGTACGATATGCCATTTGACCCTTTTGTTGGAGTGAACCATCATGGACAGTCGACACTTCTTGGATGTGGTCTACTATCGAATGAGGATACGAAGACATTTGTATAGTTGTTTCGGACCTGGTTACAATGCATGCACGGACAAGCTCCGCATGAAATAATTACAGATTATGATAGGGCTATGATACAATCCAGATCGTGTTCCCCAATACAAAACATAGATGGTTTTTGTGGCATATATTGAAGAAGTTGCCTAAGAAGTTTGGATACCATGTGCATAAAGGTTCAATATTTACAACCATTCACAATTTGGTCTATGATTGTCAATTTGTAGACGAATTCGAGAATGGCTAGAGAGTGATGATCGAAACGTTTAACTTGCATGATAATGAGTGGTTGGCAGGTTTGTATGAGAATAGGGAACGTTGGGTACCTTGCTATTTGAAAACCACATTTTGGGCAGGAATGTCAACAACTCAACGCAGTAAGAATATGAATGCATTCTTTAATGGTCATATACATTCGAAGACAATGTTGAAGCAATTTGTTGAACAATATGAACGAGCACTGAGGAGTAAGGTTGGGAAGGAGTTTCAAGCAGACTTCAAGTCCTTCTCGTAAATGGTATCATGTGCAACGAGATATGAAATGGAGAAGTAATTCCAAGCTGTTTACACAATTTCAAAATTTAAAAAAGTTCAGAAGGAGTTCATAGGTAAGGTTTATTGCGACCTCATATTTGTCTCGGAGGGATTATTGAGGGAGACCTATGAGATACGAGAGGATGTAATACATGACGAGCGCTCTAAGAAAAAACCTTTTTCGTCTCATTTCAAAGAGACAAATGTGAAATCACTTGCAGTTGTCATAATTTTGAGTTTCGAGGGATTATTTGCAGGCATATGATCGCCGTATTGATTCATAATGATGTTAAATTAGTATCGAAACAATATATACTACGGAGATGGCGACGAGATGTCAGTAGAGCCCACACAAGGGTAGCAGTGGACTATGATGGTTTAATTAGTACTCCTGGACAATTAAAGTACAACAAAATGTGTCAACGGTTTGCTACATTGGCCAGCATGACTGCAGATGATTAACTCAAATCTGATGCCATAATTGATTGGATCGACAATTAATGTAAACAGATGATGACGTTGAGGTCAAGTAGTAGAAGTAGTAATGTCATGTCCCAGCATAATACTCAGATATCATCCGACTATGGAACAACAGAGGATACTGGAAGTGATAGCATACGAGATCCCAAATGTGCGAAAAGAAAAGGTGCCCCTAAGAAACTTCGTAAGAAGAGCCCGCTAGAATCGGGTTTGAACAAAGTTAAGGTAATGCTCAATTCTTGGTATCCAAATGTTGTCAAGTCATTATAGAGATAATGTCTAATAAGCATTTCATGTTTTGCAGGCAACTTCGAATTCAACCAAAGGGAAGAAACCGAAGGTTTACACAAGTAATATGGGAAATGTTGCAACCATCTTTTAGTCTCCTCAACCATTACAAATACCGCTACCTTTCTCGTATACAAACCTCCTTATTGTTATTATTCATTTATGATTTAATTTCAACAATAATATACGATTTGCTTATAATGTTTTTTCACCCAGGGTGGCAATCAAAACCTTAAATTCACACAACACTTGCAATCCACATGTATCAACCCTCCATCGTCAACAAGTCTTACATTTAATATGCAAGGTAAATCAATTATTGTATAGAACATAATGGTTTGCAAACATTATTGATTAAGTACATTCATTAATATGTAATAAACCACCTTACATGGAGCTGACTTTTGTAGTTTTGGGTAGAAGACATGTAAATGATGCTGCTGGCAATGACACACGACAGTTGGGAATGAATTTTGATGGAGGAAGTTCAAATGCTCACTAATTACTAGCCCCAAGCAAGCTGGTCTTTTTGTAAAACTAGAATAGCATATTCTGCAATGCATTTCGATGTCAAACTGGTCTTTTTGTAAAGCTGGAATAGCATGTTGTTGGTGCGAGTAGATTTCGATTTCGATGCAGTGCAATGTTAAAAGTTATTTTTAATTTTGAATGCTGTGATGAATTTGGACTTGGTTAGATGAATCTTTTTTTGTCATCCTATCAAACTTGATAATAAGTGATGACAAAATAGAGTTCTGGAATATATTTGACTTTGTTTTCTGTAGCCTCAATTGGTGTTTGTTTATTTTATTCCATTCTTCCAACAACTCACAGGAATGAGCGTGTTCATGTTTTATGCCCCGTTCCTGTTGAAAACCATTGATTTTGGAGCTAATGCTTCCTTATTTTCTTGAAGGTGGACTGCAAATGTTAATTTTCCGGGTACTGTACTTAATTTACTTATATATTTCAGCTTTTAATTATTTTAACTAATCATATTTTACACGGTGCAGATTATTGTTACAGTTTGCATTGGAATTAAATTTGGTCTAAATGGAAATCCTGGTGGATTGCAACATTGGTATGCAACGTTGTGCGTTTATGTCGCTGGATTTGCTTGGTCTTGGGGACCTCTTAGTTGGTTGGTGCCAAGTGAAATTTTGCCTCTTGAAGTCCGATCGGCTAGATAGAGCATCAATTTTTAAGTTAATATGGTCAATGTTTTCTATGTATAACAGATTGTTTTATGTTGATCATTTGTTAATTTCAACATTTTTAGATGGAAAGCCTTAACAGTCAAGCCCGTCACGAGAAATTGTGATGCTTTTTTGTTTTTTTAGTAAAGAAGTAGGTTCCAAGATATGATGCATTTACTTATGCTTTTACTTATGCATTTACTTAGCAAAGCAAAAGCCAAAATTAAATAAAGAAATTTGGCATCATTGAACCCATATCAAACATCTAAAGCAGTTCCTTATGTTAGCCAATCTACATTTCCAATCAGCCCATTAGGTGATGTGCTCTCCTCTTTTGCGTATAGTCACATTCATATCAATCTCTATGTCTTGTTCATCAGTTAGCCGAAATCGTGTTTCGAAAATGGAAGACAAATCTTTAGTACTGGCAAAATTTCGATTTTGTCCCATTTTGCCACAGTTTTCGTATCAAGCAAAACCTGAAATTGGAATTAATTAGGAATTGAAGTCAAAACAAGTAAAACCCACTAATTGTAATTTAATCTTTATCAAATTTTAGTACAAATAATCAAAAAGGGTTCTCGTAATTTACCTGAATAAACCCAAAATTTGCCTGTCATCTTGCTGAAGTAAAGGAGCGGAACTATATCCTACACGAAAGTGAACAAATAATTCAATAAAAAATGCATAAAAATCACAGCTCGAAGGAAATTAACTCACAGGACAAGAAAACATAGAGAATATGAATATTAGAATAGAATGAAGCAAGAACATCGACTAATGACATCGGCAACGAGTGAATTCCTCCTTTATTCTTCACTTTTCAATCAAATTTCTATCTTCCAACAACTACGGAAACTCTATATAGAATACATGCATTACATTCATGAAAAGGATCAAAATTATTGATGACTTTAGTTACAGATATAGGTATAAATGAGATGTTGGATAGAGGAGAAAAGATCGAAAGTATAGATATAGGGGCTGTTTGGGCCTGATTTTTTCACCTAAAAAATTGATTTTTTTACTGTTATTTTACTATTCCAGCCGTCATATTTGACTTCTTCTCTTATAGGTGGACCCCACTTTTCTCCTAACGGTTAAAAAATTAATTCTTAAAATTACTCCCAAACAAGCTCATAGTTATAGATGTATAGATACAGAGGTGTCGATATAGGGAGAGGGAGAGAAATGTCGACATGTTTGTAGAGAGAGAGAGAGAGAGACAGAAGATGTAAGGGGGTGGTACCTGTAAGAGGCATCACCTGATATATACCTGATTTTTTTCCAGATTTGGCTGGAGATGAGGGACGGAATCGACTACGAATCAACAAAAAGTGGCCGGTTGTCTCAGAAATGGAAGATCGAGGATTTCAACAACGTCGATTTCATGGTTTTCAAAGGTGTTTCATATGGTTTATTTAATTGGCATTCGACGATAAGTCGAATGAAATGTGAAATGACTTATTTAATTCAATCTATTATTTAATATCACATCAACGCCACCTAGACTTCGATTATAACTCCAACGAAACTAAATAACATTACTCAATGTGAAAATATGGTTTCTAATTTGCAATTTTTTACATAATGAGACAAACATGGAGCTCAATAATTAGGTTTCATTTCCTTCATTGGGAACAGTACATGGCTAGGAGGATTTATTTATTTATTTATTTATTTTCAGTGTTGTATAATTTAGGGATGATTATGTTTTCGGATCAAATATAATTTCAGTTAAAATTTAATTTGAATTTTATATGCAAAACTTTTGCAATAGTTATTTTATCAATTACTCATAGCGGGGGTTCAAATCGAAACTTCTTTTTAAATTATTAATTATTTTTAATTTTCGATCATTTCTCCCCATAAAAGGATTAAGGCCTCATTCTTAGCTTCTAAAACAAGGGAAAAAAATGTTCATTCTTGTGAGTGAAAGTAGGGCATAGTCAAGTCCGTACATTACTCCTCATTCTTCGACAATGTCGCGGTTGTGTTAGGTTAGATAAGAATTACATTTAGTCACTATTTGATGAGGATTAACATTAGATTTTTATTAGATTTTGATAAAAATTGATGAAATATGGATTGAAAAGTAGTGGATGGTTAAAAAATAAGGAAAAGTAGTGTTTCAATTTTCAATTTTGAGTTTATTATTTTTAACATTTTTTGTTTTAAGTGTCTATTTTAAAATTGTTAAAAACGTGTTTGATTTATTATTTTGAAAAATTATTTCTCAAAATATAAAACTAAAACAATATGTTCAGTTTGAAATTTTGGAAAAGTATTTTATAACATTTATTCCATAAATTTTGATTATTTACTAAAAATAGAACAATTTTATGTATACTATAAAGTAGGGATGTCAATTCGGCTCCCGGCTTGAGCTGCCCATGATTCGGCTCCGAAAAAAAGCCGGAGCCGACTCAGCTCGAGGCTTGGGCCAAGCCCCATTTTGAGGTTCTTGGGCGAGCCTAAGATGGCTCGAGCTTGGGCCTTATTTAAAAAAAAAAAAGGAACAAAAAGGTAGCACTCGGCTGCCTTTGCCATAAAAAAAGAAGAAAAAGGAGAAAAAAAATCGAGTCAGTTCGGGCCGAGCTTTGTTTTTTTGGCCGATCTTTTGCTCGGCTTAGGCTCGAAAGAAGCCCGTTTGATATTACTCGAGCAGATTCGGCTCAACTCGTTAACATCCATACTATCAAGTAATATATACATTGCGCCCCCCGGGGGATTTCTCCATTGGCAAAAGGAAGGGTTCTCTCAAGGCTGGCAGTTCAGAGGTCGTGAGTTTGATTCGTGGGCTTTTGGAAGGCAAGACATATACTGGAAGGTAGGATTTATCCTGGAAGGCAGGAATGTCTTGGAAGGCAAGGCGCAACGTGGGTTGGCTCACTAGGCACTTTGGCAGTTCAGTTGATGAGGCGCTCGACCCTGGTCAGTAGGAGGCACATCCCGTGGTTTAATTGGTCTGTGTGAAGAGGGGCCGGATCACAGACCCAAAGAATAGTCGTCGAAGGCGGACACCTAGATTAAAAAAAAAATAATATATATATATATATATACACACACATTGTAAAATTGGTGAATCTTACAATTTTTTTTTCTCATTACAAAATAAAAATAAATAATAATTTGAATTCAATATATGGAAAATAAAAACAAATTTTTTTTGACGTGGACTGGGATATTTTTATATGTGTTTATTTATTAATTATTATTATTATTATTATTATTATTATTATTATTATTATTATTAGATTTTTTATGTAACTAATTATTAAAAACTTGAATTTTATTTTTTATAATTCTTTCTTTTCTAAATATTTTTATAATTTTATTTTTCAAAATTTTTATTTTTTCAAAATTCTAGAATTTTATGTGTTAAAATTTATTTTATATTTTTAATATTTTAATATTTAAAAATTTATTTGAACAATTTTTTATTTAAACATTTATTTACCATATTTTTAGTATTTTCAGAATTTTATTCAAAACGTCAAAAATACTTTTTGAATTTTATGTCATAAGTTTAACTTTATTTTTTGAAAATGAAATTTTAAAAATTCCAGACCAAACATTATTTTCAATATTCTACAGAACTGAAAACTAGACAGCTTAAAAGCAGTAAATGAAATGCAACTTAAACATTCTCTCGATGACTTAATATGACTACAAAATTTTGTGAATAAACCCATAGACATTTTCTTTATACTTTATTTAACTTTCCCAACATGGAAAAGAAAAAAAAATACTTTTTCTTTAATTAAATGAAACAAAAAGATCGGCATAGACTTTATTATATTTAAAGAGTGTTTGATGAGAATTAAAATTAGATTTTTTATAAAACTTTTAAAATGTGTTGTTGAAAAGTTATGTGTCCCATGAAATATGTTGTTAAAGTTTAATACTAACTTTGAATTGAGATTTTAATTTGATTTTAAGCTAAGAGAAGAGCTATCATAGTTAGACCTACTACGCAGGTCATCGACCAGGGTTGACTTGTCCATATCGCCTTGCCAACCGGACAGGGCTTGCATTGAGAATGTCGCAATCCAAAACAAATAGGGGCTTAATTGGAGTTAATTTAGTTAATAGGAAAAAGATGGCCATAAACTTTGACTTTTATATAAATATGAATTTTAGTTAATTACATGGTATATTTTATTCTTTTGGCTTTTTAAACTAATTATTTTTTTTTTCTATGTGTAGATGAACGAGTGGGTGATGACGACGCTTAGCTTAACTTGTGGGACAAGTTCTATTAACTGTAGAATTTGATCGATTAGTCGATTTGATTATTACTACCAATTTCGCAGTTGAGAATTTAGCTAATTAATTAATTAATTATGTTTAGCAAAAACCATTGAAACTGCTTCATTGTCTGGTTAGAGATGCGCCGAATGGAATTCATTTGATTCTTTAATAACTTCAAAAGAGTTTTGACGGCAAAACGAAAACAATAATTAATTTAGAAAAATATAATTATATTGCGTTGAACATACAAGTACGCTCACAATCACAACATCTGTGGTTAGGGAATTGCCTTTCAAAAGTTTCATGTCGAACTGTTTCTGACCTCGATCTATATTGAACAGGTCGACATTGATTACTCTTTAATGAACGGACAGAATTTGTTACATCAATAAGAAGCTTTAGCCACTCTTCAATACACCAAAATATAGAAGACTACAATAGGTAATGAAAGATAATGGTTAGTTTTAAAGCTAATTACATCACACATTGTAGTGTGTCATCTAAGCATGGTGCTTATGAGATCAAATTCGTGTATAATTGGTACAAAATGTCACTTCCTTTGAAGTTTATTGTGGAAAACGTCACTACCTTTTATTTTTTGACATTTTAGCCCTTACCTTCCACATTACTTTGCACTGAATATCATTTTCACCAATTTTTAACGTAAAATGACTAATATACCATTCTATTTAAATAAAACAAAAAAAAAGAAAAGAAAAGAAAAAAATTATAATCTTACTCCTAAATGTTTTAAAAAGTGCAAGTGAGTCCAAATAATTATTAAAATGTCTAATATCACAAAACGTCTCTACGTTTGGCATATAGTGTGTGAAACGCCCCCTACATTTTCAAATTAGTGAAAAAAAAGGACGTTTTTCGTAATGAAACATGGAAATAGGATGAAAATGAAAAAAAAATTGAAATGTAAGGACTTTTTTTTTTGCAAGAAGTGTCAAACGTATGGATTTTTTTGCTATTAGACCTTATTAAAATATTAAAAAAAAAACTATATCTTCCTGAATTTTATCAAGAGTTAAATGTTTCAATGGCCACTAAATTTTGCACCATGTCACGACTTACTCACTGAATTTTATCAAATGTCCCATTAACCACTGAACTTTGCTCTGTTCCACTCCATCACTCACGGGACGAGATCCGTTAGTAGATCTTCCTACATTGATGATGGAAAAATGACATGGCCAATGAAATTGTTAAATTTAACACCTACTCACTGCCACGTCAGCAATTAACTCAAAAATTTCACACCAACTCACCATTTTATAAAAGGAAAAATGACATGGCCAATGAAATTGTTAAATTTAACACCTACTCACTGCCACGTCAGCAATTAACTCAAAAATTTCACACCAACTCACCATTTTATAAAAGGAAAAATGACATACATTTCCCCAAAAATCACTCCCCTAACCCTAACCCTAACCCTAACCCCCAAATCAATTGAATCTGCAAGAAGAACACAAGGAATCCCAATCCAACCTGAAGAATTTGTAATCAATGAAGGTAAACGGTAAATTGTAACCGTGATTTGAAGCGGGTAATATATCATCCATTTCAATTACCATGGTAAAGATTGATGTTATTTATTGTATCTTCAATATTTATTTTCAACTGGGGGAAAATCTGAAATCGTGCAAGGAGAAATCCCCTAAAATCACACTCAAATTGTAATCCAACTCGAAGATTCGATAGTTGCGGCTCTTAATGTAGAAATGATGTGCTGGTCACCATGCTCATTATCCAGTCAGTAATAGAGTTTACGACAATATTTTTCAGTTTCTGTAACCAAAGGAGATTGAACTCCTAATCTAGTCATTTTATATATACTTTCGTTGGTATACGACAAAATTTCCATTTTTGAAGCGAAACTTTATGTTGCTGATTTCTCATCAAAGCGTATGATGTGCATTGAAATTTTACTATGTAAACCATAAAGGTTTTGAAGTAACAACTTCTCACGAATCATGGGAGCTCAAGCTCATCATCTGAGATGGTATTGAAGCTTGAGGCCAATGAATCCACTCAAAATGAGGATCTTCCAAACTCTCAAGCAAGCAGAGGCCCATAATCAATATGAATAAGTTCTACTTGACCAAACCTCCCAACACCATCAAGCTTCCTGACTAAAAGAAGCCCCCGGGGCACAGTTGAATTGGTGGATCAATCAACATTGTCTTGCTTTCAACGGCAGGATGGAGGTTCGAATCCTAGTGGGAACCTGCGGCCAGATTTATTTGGTATGAAGCAATCACTTTGGAGGAGTATCTCTTGTGCGCAGAAGTGTACAGGCGGTGGGGGGAATCTGTGATCCAATTGAGGCATAACCCGTGATTTACCCCCTCTAAGGTTCTAGGGGCAAGGGTTTTGAGGGTCCAAGATTTAATCTAGGATAAACTGGAATACCTGGATATCAAAATAAAAAAATAAAAGGCTACCCTGCATGCCTATCTGTGTCAAGAATCATAATGTCTAATACCCCGACAAACAGCACATGTAGATAAGAAAAGGACCAAATCAAATCATAGATCAATGAAATCATCCCCGGGGTGGACTCTAATGTTTATAGGAACGAAGCAATCATACTCAAAATAGCCACCTTCGATCATTCAACATTCTCATTCAACATCTGTACGCAGAAAACCGGAGCAAATTTCATTTTGCGCAAACCGAATCTCGGCGGGGAAGATGGAGGTTCGAAATCAATTCTGCATTAACAGCCGCGACTATCGGACCACTGAATTGGATTACAATTTGGGCATGATTTTGAGGGATTTCTTCTTGAACAATTTCAGATTTCCTCCCAAATTGAAGATATGAAAAGTAACTTCAATCCTTACATTGGTTACTGAAATTGATGATATATTATCATCTTCAAATTACGGTCACAATTTACCTTTACCTTACCGACTACAAATTCTTCTTAGTCGGATTTGGGATTCCTTGTGTTCTTGTTGCAAATTCAATTGATTTGGGGGTTAAGGTTGGGGAAGTGATTTTTGGGAAAATATGTCATTTTTCCTTTGAACAAAATGGCGAATTGGTGTGAAATTTTTAGGGTAATTCTGACGTGGCAATGGGTTGACATGAAATTTAACAATTTAACTGACCACTTCATTTTTCCCTCATCCACTTAGACGGATCTACTGACGGTTCCATCCAGTGAGTGATGAAGTGGGACAGAGTAAAAGTTCAATGACTAATGGAATTATTAATGAAGTTCAATGAGAAATCGTGATATGGTGTAAATCAAGTAAAACCATAAATTTTAACTACACAGTTAAACATTAGGCGTTAAACTTCTAATTTCATAATTCAGTGATAAATCTCATTCTAATATTATTGATATATGATATAATATATTAACTTTATATTAATACAAAGGGCAATTAATATAAAACTTCCCTATCTTTTAATATTATTGTGCAAAATGTCTATACCTTTTTATTTTTAACACTTTTACGCTTTATTAAGAAAATCATTCTTTTCATCAATTTCTCGTGTAAAATAACAAATATACTCCCATTTAAATTAAAAACAATAAAAAAGAAAAGAAAAGTTTAAAAATAAATTGCAATTATACTCCTAAATGTTTTTAAAAAGTGCAAATGAATCCGAATAAATTATTAAAAGGGTAATTAGCAGAAAACATCTCTACCTTTCATTATTATTGGGCAAAACATCCATACCTTTTATTTTTTGACATTTTTATCCTTATTTTTTTTATATTTCATTACAAAAATTATTATTTTCATCTATTTTCTCAATAAAAGTTCTAAAAAGACATATAGTTTTATTTTTAAATAAGCAAAATAAAGAAAAGTAAAGAATAAATTGTAATTATACTCCCAAAAGTTTTTAAAAAGTACAAATAAATTTCAAATAAATAATTAAAAAACAAGATTTTTACTTTTTTGAAAATTTTGGAAATATAGTTGCAATTTGTTTTTATTTTTGTTTATTTAAAGATAAGCATATATTTGTCACTTTATAATTTTAATTGAGAAAATAAATGAAAATAATGATTTTCGCAATGAAATATGAAATAAAGGTGAAAATGTCAAAAAATTAAAGATATGGACGTTTTGTATAATAATAATGAAAGGTATGAATGTTTTGAGCTAATTATCTTTCAATAATTTATTTGGATTCATTTCCACTTTAAAATAAAAAGTTTTGGGAGTATAATTACAATTTATTTATTAACTTTTCTTTTTTTATTGTTTTATTTAAATAAGGGGTATATTTGTCATTTTACACGAAAATTTGGTGAAAATGACGATTTCCACAATAATAGTTGAAGATAAGGAAAAAAAGCCAAAAAATAAAAGGTATGGACATTTTGCACAATAACATTGAAAGATAAGAACGTGTTATGCTAATTACTTTAATACTAATTAAATAGGTTTATTAATATCTAAACCTTATTTATTCAATTTTATATTCATAGGAAAACAACTTTTTATTTTTATTTATTTATTCTCTTTTATTTATTATTATTTTTTGGTGCAAGATATCATTTTTTTTTTTAAATAGAGATAGCAATTGTTTTTTAAAACATTGATAGGTTTAAAAGAATAACTAAAATGTCATTTTGTTTGTATTAGTCGGTCAAAGTTTAAAGGTTTCCCCCCTTTGCAAGACAACCGATCAAAGCCCTACATCCATAATAATCTTCAAATTTCATTTCGAGCAGGCAAATAAAAGATTGAAAATTTCTGTACTAAGGGAAAATTAAATCAAGAACGAATCGATGGCAACAAGTGAAAATGAATTAACGAAGAGGCTCGAAGAATTACAAAAACAGCTCGCGAAGAAACAAATGTTTGAGGGATCGGTTTCCACCATTAGATCTCTTCTTCAACAACACTATTCCTCTGCTTCGCCTTCTCTTCAACAATTGGTATGGTTTTCTTGAACCGTCAGTTTTTCCATTTTTACCTTATGTTTCTTTAACCTTTTCTTTCTTTCCTTTTTTTCTTTTTTTTCCCTAATTTAGTTTGATAATTGATTGAAAGTTATTAGTTTTAAGTGTTAATGGTGGAGATGCTTCCTGAAGTAGAATTTATTGGACCCATTTCATGAAATTTGAAACGATGGACTAATGTTTGAATGAGATGAATTATCCGCGCATCTTATTTTGGTTATTTTGGCCCCTTTGGGTTGTTGAAATAGAGAATTGTAATGTGAATTCCGGTAAGAATCAATTTGCTTTCCTTTTAGGTGCAGAAAATTATTTTGCTTTCAAGAAAAAACAAGCAGAATAGCTTCACATGTTGAATATTTGAAAACCTCTTTTTCTTGATTTGCAATATTAACTCGTTGTCGATTGATTAGAAAGTTGTTCTGTTAATCCAAGTTTTATATTTTCGATTCACCATTGAAGAGAAAGAAATCATTTCCTATCTTATTTTAATTATATAGAAATAAAACAACCTTGTCTTGCAAAGACATGCTAAAAGAGGTGGATATAGATCAAAATTAACATGATTGAATTAAAGTTAATTTCATTGGAGTATAAGTGCCTTCGATGAAAATATCTCAATGTGCCAAAATCATTACCATAGTATTTAGACAGAGTATCTAATGATTTAATAATATGCATATTGAAGGAGGAAGTGCACTTTTTTAAAAGAATTATTTTCACGTTTGCAGTTCTACTCTGTTATATGTCGAGTTGCAACTATTTTAAAGACGAGGTACACCTCTCCAGGATTCTGGAATGCTGGGCTAACACTTTTCCAGGTGGCTGAGCGGCTGGTCTCCAATACTTCTGAGCGAAAACACTTGCAAAGTTGCATGACTCAGGCCCGGGAGCAGTTGGGTGAAGTACAAAATCTTTCCGAAGATTTGAGACCCTCACAGAATAGGAGAGGTGCATGAATATATTAACTATATATCTACTGCTCAATTACTTTGGAAGATTGGAAGTAACAAATTTTGCAAAATTCAGGATACCTCTTTGAAGGGCATCTTACTGTAGATCCTGAGCCTCCGCAACCTGATTGGTTAGTGCAAGAAAACTTGCTGACTGCTACCGCTACCTTATTACGTGGAGAATCTTCTGGAGGTGAAGCTGGTACTGGCAACACATTAGAAGGTGCTGCCAACCTAATTGAAGAGCTGGTCAGTAGACTTGATGATATTGTGCCGGAGGTAGCTTTCCGCGTCTCTTTTTCTACCCTGACATGATTTTACAATTTTCCTCTTCAAATGCCTCTAAAATGTCTTTTACAAATATTATACTAGTGTTAGCAATATTTATCCCAATAAAGAAACTTATTTCTTTTACTGTTCTTTTTGTGCCCCAACGGTTTAGCTTCACATGGTTTATTTCTTTTCATATAAAAGTATCAATAGAGTTTGTAATATTTTGCTAGAGATAATTTCCCCCGTGTCTTTTTCTCTTCCCTGATATTTTCATACTTCCACAGGATTTAAATGTCTTTAACCATATTCTCTACCATTGTTTTGAATACCATCGGAGGCTAACTTCTCGATTTACTGAGGCTTATACCTCAAGGCTAAGCCTAAGGGTAACTAAGTCGTACGTTTGTTAGTCTTTCCTTTTATCTGCGGTTATAGCTTTTTAAACTGATTTTATGTTTTTAGGCTATTTGAAACATAATTGAAGTGTAAAACCTAGAAAAAGAGAACTAGGGAAGAGAGAGAAGTAAGCATCCCAGCCTTCTACTGCTACAGTGTGATTTACCCTCTCCTAAGTGAAGTTGCAACTTTTTAGTTGCAGATGGCCTTTGATGTGAGACCTACAAAATGTAACTAAATTCTCTTCTTTCTTTTATACTTTTGTTCTGATTGTCCTGTTGTTTTCTTTTCTTCTCCCTTATATGGAATGGAAGGGGGAATGCATGATTGCAAGTATAGGATAAGGGAAAAAATGGGAAGAAAATGAGAGTGATGTGAAGGATGGTAGGAGAATCAAATATGGTTTGATAGTTTTAAAATCCTATTCATTGTGATGATATGGGATATCCCTAGGCTGTTAAGTTATAGTAATGATTTTCAATTTTGTTATGCAATATCTAACTTGTTATTTGCTACGTTATAGATCTTTTTTATGCTTGTTTGCAAGTTAGGCTTTTAATTTTGTTATTTTTTAATGGATTTTCTAGACAGTTCATGGTTTATTACGAATATATTTTTGTATTATTGTACAGCTAGAGCTTTGCTTCACCAAAATGTCTCTGTTCCCAATGGAGTGTTCTATACGTTGATTAATACTACTGTTAACAGTATTTATTACGAGATAATAATACTTGTTTCTTCTACTGTCATTTTTCATGCCCATATGGCATTAACCTGAATTCATGTAGTGTATTTTGTAGGACAATTAGAATATTTTCATTTTCAATTGACATTATTTTTCTGTTTTGTATCGTGATATGGCTGCTACCTGCTTCTTCAATGTTCTCTTACATTCTCAAAGATGTGTTTTTGCATGCACTTGAGCACACTCATATTAGTAGGATACGACCAGTCAACTTTAGTTTACTGGGAGGATACACTTTTTTTTTTTTGCCTATTTTAAGTTGTGTCGCAGAATTTGATATGAATCTGACGTCATTGTTGATTGGTTCAAGATTCTGGACAATGATGCTGCAGTCCCTAGAGTACCACCTGCGAGTAAAGAAGTAGTTGCTAAGCTTCCAGTTACTTCTGTAACTGAAGCAGTGTTGGCAAAGCTGGGGGAAGATGCTGTTTGTTCCATTTGCCAGGAGACTTTGGTTGTAAATGATAAGATGCAAGAGTTACCCTGCGAGCATATGTTTCATCCTCCTTGCCTTAAACCGTGGCTGGTAAAAAAATTTAATGCGTTGATTTGAAAGTAGCAGATGTGTTTTTTTAATTTTATTTTTATGTTTTAACATCGGTATGTTTATTTCCGTGCAATAAATTCCATTGTATGCAGTACAGATGCTAATTTGGATTGTTCTTTTTGTTATACTGAACAGGATGTACACAATGCTTGTCCAATCTGTCGGCATGAACTGCTAACTGATGATCATGCCTATGAAAGTTGGAAGGAGAGGGAGAAAGAGGCTGAGGAAGAGAGAAAAGGTGCAGCAAATGCCGTTCGAGGGGGTGAATACATGTATGTGTAAATGGTAAATATTTATTTTGCTGCGGCCGTCTCTCCTCTCCTTATACCTCATTAAGGTTGGACTTATATCCTTACTGAATTTGATGCTTGGGTGGATAAAAGTACTTGCTAGATATTTATTTGCAATTATTATGGAATGTATTTGCGCAACGGATGCTAAAAAACTTATCTTTCAATTTTCAAGTGGTTACTGAACTTCATGTTGTCACTACTTGGATTACTGTTTCAACCATGCGCAGTTTCTAACTCTGTTAGCTCTGGTCCATGCAAAATGACTTGGTTGTTCATATGACGTAAATAAATTTGTTTGGGACACGAATTATGAACTACCATTTACTTAGGAATGGTAAATGAGCCTATAGGCTCCGGTGGCTAACAGCTCAGCCCGATATAAAGCTCAAGCTGGCTCGACTTGGGGCTCGATCTAACCGAGCCAAGTCCAAATACGAGCCACAGGGACTGGCTCGTTGTCAACCTTCCATTTTTTTTATTTTTTTTTATCAATATTTAATTTAAGATTTAAATCAATAAAGTCTTAACTTATATATAAATATGTTTACATAATTAATATTCATAATTATGCTACAACTATTGATATTTATAATTTATTATGATATTCATTACTATCCGTACTATTTTATTGATATAAATTTTAAATTTTATTATATAAGATTTAATATAATATTATTTGTTATCTTGTGGTGTTGAACCTTATAGGATATTTTCAATTCTAATATTTTTAATTTAAGAGTGAATGTCAAATATTTACACACTTGAAAATTGTACTCTTATTCATATATTCTCATATCTATATGAATTTTTTAACTGTATTTTAATCGAGAAAAAGAACTTGTTCGACTTTTTTATATGAATATTTCATAAATTAAAAAAAAAATAGAAAAGAAAATTTGGGAACGGGCTCGGCTCGATAAGCGCAAGTTAAGCCTTCAAGTTTTGGCCCAGCTTTGGATTGGTCAGCATTTTAGAACCCTTTTTTTTCCTCATAATCGGACTGTGCACAAGCTGTAGGCTTTAACTCGGCTGATTGATACCCCTATAGTTATTTGTACTCAAATTTTCCCACCCAGTCTCTCTCTCTCTCTCATTATTATTATTATTATTAATTTTTTTTAATACCTAATTTCTAAGGATTGTCTTGTGATTTGAACCGGTTGCGGGAGGTGAGAAACCCATAAACAAAGAAGGCAATTCTTGAATGGAAATCAAAAATAAAAAATGTATGCGTACACGCATTAAATTTTCATCATCTATTTTGTTTCCTTTCTCTTTATTCCATGCTTCTTGCTTCAACATATTTATCTGGGTTCGGCTTTTTTTTTTTTTTTTTTTGTCTTCTTTTTTTTTTTTTTGCCGTT